TAGTACTATTAGTAGTAGTGTTAGTCGTCGTTGTAGTCGTAGAAGCAGCCGCAGAAATAATGGTGCCCGTACTCTAGTAATCGTACTACCGGCGGTCGTGGTCGTGGCAGGGGCAGACGCACTAGGATCAGCAGTAGTAGTAGCAGTAGTCGTAGTAGTAGTAGTAGTAGTCGTAGTAGTAGTAGTAGTCGTAGTAGTAGTAGTAGTAGTAGTAGTAGTAGTAGTAGTAGTAGTAGTAGTAGTAGTATGAGCAGTAGCGGCGGTGGTAATAGTAGTTGTAGTGATAGTAGTAGTTGTAATAGTAGTAGTAGTAGTAGTAGTAGTAGTAGTAGTAGTAGTAGTAGTAATACTGGTAGTAGTCGTAGTAATAGTAGTAGTAGTAGTAGTAGTAGTAGTCGTGGTAGTAGTAGTAGTAGCAGTAGTAGTAGTGGTAGTAGTAGTAGTCGTAGTAGTAGCGGTAGTAGTAGTAGTAGTATTGGTAGTAGTTAGTAGGAGTAGAAGTAGTAGTAGCAGAAGAAGAAGAATTAGTAGTAATAGTAGTAGTAGTAGTAGTACTAGTAGTAGTAGTAGTAGTACTAGTACTAGTACTAGTACTAGTAGTAGTAGTAGTAGTCGTAGTAGTAGTAGTAGTAGCACTGGTAGTAGTAGTAGTAGTAGTAGTAGTAGTCGTAGTAGTAGTCGTAGTAGTAGTGGTAGTGGTAGTAGTAGTAGTAGTAGTAGTAGTAGTAGTAGTAATAGTAGTAGTAGTAGTAGTAGTAGTAGTTAGTAGTAGTAACGGTAATAAAGATACCACTAGTCGTAACAATACTGGTCGGAGTGGGAGTAGAAATAGAAAAAGTAGTCGTAGCAGCAGCTGTCGTAGTAGTGAAGGTGGTTGTGTATTTTGGGACAGCTAAAGAAGTATTAATAACGTCCGTAGAAACAGTGATCAAAGAAGTGGTGGTCGTGGTCGTGGTAGTGGGGATACAGCAATCGCGGTAGTAATAGTCGTCATAACAGTACGTCACATCGACGAAACACATGCAAAAAAAATTACGCTACGTGGAAGCCCCACATACTTATAATATGTCTGGCGTGCAGATAACTGACGTGAAACTTGCGAGAATGATGCAGGTGGCCGTTGCTTCGCCGATACTGTTGGTGACGCCGGTCAAGCCTTGTGAACCTGAATACCCTGAGGGGGCCCAGACACGGCAAAAGCCTGGGCGTTACTGGCTAGCCGCCACTTTGACCCCACCAGCTGGCTGGGTCTTTCCACGTCGCGCAAAGAGTCGATGCCGCGCTCAGAGACCACCCCCTGTGGTGTCGAGGAAGTGCCACGCCTGCCACGCCCTGCGCGCCTGCAACGGATAGGGACACCACCCACAGCGCACCTCCCTCTGGTGTCGAGGAAATGCCACGCCCTGCGAGTCTGCAACGGATAGGGAGACCACCCCCAGCGCACCGCGTGTGGTGTCGAGGAAGTGCCAAGCCTGCCACCACGCCCTGCGAGCCTGCAACGGGTAGGGGGACCACCCCCAGCGCACCCCCTGTGGTGCCGAGGAAATGCCAAGCCTGCCACACCCTGCGCGCCTGCAACGGATAGGGAGACCACCCCCAGCGCACCCCCTTGTGGTGCCGAGGAAATGCCAAGCCTGCCACGCCCTACCAGCCTGCAACGGGTAGGGAGACCACCCCCAGCGCACCGCGTGTGGTGTCGAGGAAGTGCCAAGCCTGCCACGCCATGCGCGCCTGCAACGGATAGGGAGACCACCCCCCCAGCGCACCCCCCTGTGGTGTCGAGGAAGTGCCAAGCCTGCCACGACATGCGCAACTGCAACGGATAGGGAGACCACCCCCAGCGCACCCCCTTGTGGCGTCGAGGACATGCAACGCCTGCCACGCCATGCGAGCCTGCAACGGATAGGGAGACCACCCCCAGCGCACCCCCTGTGGTGTCGAGGAAATGCCAAGCCTGCCACGCTTTGCAAGCCCGAAACGGATAGGGAGACTACCCCCAACGCACTCTCTCTGGTGTCGAGAAAGTGCCACGCCTGCCATGCACTGCGAATCCTAAACGCACGCCTTGTATATGGCATGTCATGTGTATGTGTATGATGCGTGTGCGTTCATATCGGGACGTGTGTCTCATGTGGGTGCCCAGTGTGTTGTGCATACGTTTTTGGTGTATGATGCAGTGAACACGCCAGGCGTGCACTAGCGTTGTATGATGTGTGTGCGAGTGTGTGCGTGCGTGCGGCTGTGTGGGGAAGCCGTAGTGAAAGTGGTGGTAGTAGTAGCAGCAATGGTAGAAGTAGAAGTATCAGTAGTAGAAAAAGTAGTCGTAGTAGCAGTAGTACAAATCGTAGTAGTGGTAGTACTAGTAGTAGTGGTTGTACTGCTACTACTACTACTACTACTACTACTACTACTACCACTACTACTACCACTACTACTACTACTACTACAACTACTACTACTACTACTACTACTACTACTACTACTATTATTACTACGACTA